CCTGAAAAACCCAGGTGGACCTGCCGCCTTTCTTCGACCACCACCTGCCTCTGCCAGCAACGGGTTCCTCGCAACAAGCCTCAACTCCTCCTCTCGGCACCGCTTTCCGTAAGATAGTCTCAGACAAGCAATAGCAGCAGCAGGCTGGTTGGCTGATTCGTTTCAAAACGAGAATGCGTAAGCCGTAATTCCACGCGATCGATAAAGAAAACGAAGCTTTCGATTCCAATGGCGTTTTGCGGAAAGCGGCGACCGGAAGTAGTGCCCGCACGGATGTAACGAAACGTGGACGATGTCTCGCGTGACGATTTAAGAAATTCTGATGATTCATTCTATGGTCTTTTTTTTCGTAAATTTTTCTTTCTTTTCAAAATTTTAAATTTTATTATTAATTTTATTAAAATAAAATTATAAAGAATTTTTTTAGTTCTTGTAATTGATAATGATATTCATTTTGAATATAGATTATATTTTTAAGTACAAACGAGGTTTAAGATAATTTTGTCTCATTTCCGGATATTAATGATTGAAATGTAATATAATTGAAATATAGAATGTAAGATTAGAATATAAAGATAACTCAATTTTTATAACTTTTAAAATATTATTCTTTCTTTTTTTTTTCTATTTTGAAGATGAGTTTCATCTAATTAAAAACATTTTATTTTATGTTTTTTTTTATATGATCATATGGAATTATTAATTCATATCATAAATTCAAATATATATATATATATATATATGTATGTACGTATGTATATATATATAGAGAGAGAGAGAAAATATGTATAGAATGATGGATCTTTTTATATAATTAAAAATACAATTTTTTAATTAAGTCATAATTATAATTAATGTGTTTGGATTGTGTAAAATAAAAAACATTATAAAAAATGACGATTATCAAACAAAAATAATTATTTAATAAAATTTAATAAAAGTTTTTTATGGAAAAATAAGAAATCGGAATAAAATTTCGTATTCAAAGTATTTAAAATAATACAATCAATCGTTAAACAGATTCATCAATTAATAGTAAGAGAAATGAAATGCTTCTATATTAAATATAACCTAACATTTTTCGAAAAGTAAAAAGAAAAGCCAAACAAGAAAAATAATATAATAATAGTAATTGTTATGCTCTTAGCTCTATTACTAGAGATTTCGCAAGCTCAAGAAATTTTCTTAATTATAAAAAAAATATGTAAAAAAATTGTAGCCACGTAACCCCATAAATACAAAAATACAAATGAGATAAAAGAAAGGAAAAAAACACTATAAGTGGAAGGAAAAAAAAATATTTTATCATGACAATATCGCATTTTTATCCTGATGGACAGATGCATTTTGTCTTGATGGACAAATGCATTCTATCTTAATATCATGAATTCAGTATCTTCATCACAAAGAAGAAACCTTGCAAGACATCGAGAAAAAGAGAGACAAAGAAAAGCATATGTTATACGACTTATATATATTATCTTCGAAGTCGAACCTACAGACCTCTACACGCTAAAAATTATACTACTATGTAGTCACTAGAGCTTCAACAATGATCGTTCGTGTTAATTTCGTTCAACAGGCAGGACTAACTACCTAAATAGTGCATGCGATTGTTTTTCATCAGCGGGAACAATGGTTACGATAATTTCTTTGGCGGAACATTTTTAGAGATGACGGAAATACACCGGGTCGGAATATAGTCGTAACTAACCTTTCAGCTCTGTGTCAGTCGGTCACGCACACGATCAGTTCGATTCTGTGCTTGACTTATCGGTAGAAATAAGAACGGTCATTAACGACGTTAATTTTATGGTTTTAAATGAAATAAGACTTTAAATTCATATAAAGAATTAAATATATATAAAATAAATTTTAAATGATATTATTTGACAGAATAAATAAATATACAATATATGTAATATGTAATATATGATTATCACTGGTAATATCAATATAATAGGAATTATTAAAATTTCCTGTCACGAAAAAATGTTTCATAGATCAGTTCCTGAATGATAGAAAATTTATAAAATTATAGAAACTTCTTTAACTTATAGAAACTGTTTTGAATAGTAAATTTAAAATAATATTGAATTTCTATTATTTCATCTTTCAACTACGGAAAGAAAAACAAATTATATATATCGATAAATATGAAGATAACTTTACATACGGTGTATTGCTTGTATCGATGTTTCTCCGTAACGTTTTTACTGCAATACAAAACGACCTTGACGAATAGAGACAAGATACTCGACAAAATAGCCTGGCAGTTGACTTTAGATATATGAAAAATGCGAACTTATTTATCGTTGCACAGTATATATGTTCCACACACTCATACGAAAGATAGTAACTGCACGATTTTCCTTATTAAAGTCCTCGTTTGCTCACTTTGAACGCGTAACGAGTATGAGTTGCTAGAGAAGCATTGACGTAGCAAGAAAGAATCGAGCGAAACGATCAAACAGATAACCCAAGAAAAGGAAAAGGTAATCTGACAGTATTTACAGTATCTATCAGATTAAAAAATAGCTGTATACAATATAGTAAATCACTTGCAAGTTGAGTGTAAAGAAAAAAAACATTTCCGGTGTTCTACGAGATACGAAATGCCCGCCGGAGGGCGTATCGATTCAGACAAAATATTTATGGGCAAATATATCGTTTTGGAGCGTATGCGAACATATCTAATAAAAACTATTCCGAGATTTATATTTTTCTATTAAGATATATCGAAGAATTAAGATGTATATGGATAATCAGTATTAATCGGGTGAAAAACGGTGAAGGAAATTTTTCCTACCGTATAGGGTAACACTCCCGCGTCGCTGTCATGCTTGAATGTCACCGTTGCTGTTTGTGAGCGGTTGAAAGCAGAGGCCACAATGATAGTATCAGACGCACGTATACACTGTGACACTGTAAAAGGCACACGCATGTATGCACGCACGCGCGCACTAAATACACTCGCGCGTACGTTAAGCAATCATCACCGCACGCGACATATACGAAACATACAACCTCACCCGTTGGTGGCGCGCGACAGACTGAGACGAAACGCGGCTCACTAGACTGGAAGGGGAGGTAGCCGCGTAGTGGGAAGAAGAGACAGTAGTGGGGGAGACCCGTCGCATAGGTGTATGCCACAAAGATGGGGCCCTGTATTTTCGCTTTACTGTGATACGGTCGATACGTGTTCTCTGTCGAGGAATCGATAAGATTTTAACTCTTCTCTTTATTTTTAACTATTTATATTTACACATAAGGAATCATAATGCTAATTACTAATGAAAAAATTATCTTAGAATATTATTGGAGCAAATGAAATGCCAGAGAATTAAAAATTAAAACAATTATATTATTTGCAATAAATAAGTTATAATTAATAGCGATATCTTAATAAATATTATTCATATTTTAGAAAATTTTCATAGATTTTTGCAATTAAAATCAATAGGAATCAATGAAGATATGAAACAGCTTGACTATTGTATCTAGCTAACGAGTTACTTTTCCCATTCGATGGAAAAGAGCGCAATATGCTTTGAATTGCGAATTTCATATCACGTAACCCGTGCACACTCACGTACATAATGATACTATCGATCGACATTAAATGTAAAACCTGTACAGCGTCTGTATTAATAAGTAAAATTGAATAGAATCATTGCATATTATTTGTATTTTGTTTATTTTGGTCAAAAATCAATGTAACTATCAAATTGTTTAAAAAAAAAGAAAAACGAATAAATTATTTTCATCGATATTATATGGAATCACACTGTATCCGTACATCCCTGGGTCCTACAGGGTTTAATATCGCGAAGGGTAGCCGAGAGGAAGGAAGATAGGGACGACCCTAAAGCGAGGGAGTGCTGATGCTAAAGCCGCGAGCACGAAGGGACCTTCAAATAAAAAAAAAGGTAGGACCTACTGAGCAAGCAAGTGAACAAGAGAGAGAGAGAAAAGGAAGGAGAATCCGGTCCCCCTTCTTTCGAGACCAGGGAAAGGCCGCACCCACGCAGTTCTTGAAGATCATGCTGGGTCCCCGCTGGCACAGCCCTGAGCATATAAGTAAACACACCAAAGTTCTAGTACTTGAACATGAGCGAACATTTTCCATGAGGTTGGATATCCGTGAAACACAAATGCTGGTCACTCATATAAGCGGAAAGCCTTTCAAGTCAACCATTGGAAATAATAAATACAAAGAATTTGGATTGGAAATTATTATGAAAAATATAAAATTCTAAATTGATAGTTTTTAACAATGCAAGATGTGTGAATAATGTAAAACATATAAAAAAACAAATGAAACATACCGTATATGATATACGAATTTGATCATTGTACTCTGATCGCACGATACTTGCACAATATCGACGAAGTTGCGCTATGTTTTCGCTGTGCAATCTTCAATCTTCACCTTGTCTTTAAAGTGAATTCTCATTTGCCAGTAGTATAACGGTTATATATTATAACAATACTCGAATGTAAGATAATCAGAATGCACATGCTTGGCCAGCAAGTTGGTCGCTTAGGTTAAGCCAAAGTCAACACGTGGCAACATCGCGTTACAGCTGTCATACGCGTCACGCACCGAGTCAAAGCTCAACTTATTCTACATAAGTATTTTATAAGTTAGTCGAGAGATCTGTCTCTTATGACACAACACGAAACAACTAGCTGGAAAGAAATTGCACATTGTACGACTTTTGATCTGTAGAAAAAATCATTTCTCCGTTAAAGGATAGCATTGTACGGCCAGGGTTCTACTGGCTCCGTGTCGGACTACCTAGCGTTACCTCGCAACATTCTCATGCCATCAACTTCCCTCTCCCGAAATCCCAGACGGGAAAGTGAGTTTCGGAATATGATTGTTAATTTTACGTAACATACAGCTTGCTTGCTTGCTAGGAACAAGTTCTCCCTCCTGCTTTTATTCAGATTTCCATTCCTTATCCAATTTGAATTTTCATGTCATTAGTTTTCCAATAAAAAAAAATTATTTCTTAAATTTGCTGTTCTAATTCTCACG